ATATAACTTCAGAATGAAAAGAAGGTCATTCATGAATCACAATAAAATGATGTAATCTATTTTGCTTTAAGTGTAGCATAAAATAGCTACAAAGCGATCCAGTTGTCTTCGAGAAGGTGGCAAATTGTCCAAACAGTGGCCAAGTTTTTTGAATCAAAGGTGATTGTCAATGTGAATTGTTCTACAGGAGAGCTGTCTTAGGGGTGACTTGTCCAGCATTGCAGTGCACGTGCAAGCTGATTTTACAACATATTATCTGGTTATTTATTATTTCCTTAGTTTATATATTCAGTGTGGACCATGAGGTTCATAAACCCCAGACTGAAGTTTAATAATTGACTGTAAAGAAGATTAAACTCCCCATCCCCACCCTAACAATAATTCACTGACATTGTATCTACTTATTTAGTTTACTGAATGTCTCCCATGCATATATCATAACTGAACAAAACCAGATATCTATAGACATGATGACTACTTAGAAATGTAAAGTTAATTCAGTTGAAACACATATTATCAACTAACATACATAACTTTGTTGGATAGTTATTATTATACTTGTACAAAGTGGTCATCTAATGATTCATCATTAGTTATCATACATGTAGATACTGATATGGTTGTATGTTCGTTCGCCCTAAAACTTGTTCGCCCTTGACGCCATTCGCCCTAATTCCCGTTCGCCCAAAGTTCGATCGCCCTGAAACTTGTTCGCACAGGGTCCGTTCGCCTTTTTTATACTGCAGAAAGTTGAATAATGAACCAATAGATTTTTAAAATAAATTATATGTACATTGGTACATAAATTGCACACGGGAGACAACGGATGTATGCATGTGGTCACACTATAAATACCTGTGCTATCAAAGACCCGACAGACCAACAGAAATTAACGTCTCAGTCCTTTAATTGTTTTCAAAACATAACGCAGATTGTATGATCCCCTAAGTTACAGTGACATTATTAAGTATAATTAAATCAATTACATGTGTAAGCATGTAAAGAGCATAAATATCAAATATCAAATTTGAATTATTTAATTAAGATTACGGTAAATAAAAAAAATGCTGTAGCAACATTTGGAAAAAAAAAACACCAAGTCCTAAAATATTGAATAAAATTAATGATAAATGTCGATATTTACTATATACTGTATATATCATAGGGCGAACGAGATATAGGGCAAACAAGAATAATGGCGAACGGACCCTGCGCGAACGGACTCATGCGAACAGGTAGACAGGGCGAACGAACCTGATACCTACTGATAGGCCCTATAGGATATATTAATGAAAATTAGTCAAAGGGAATCCTTCTATAACCACAAAATATGATGAAAAACTGCTTTTAATTCATAATTAATTGCAGAGAATTTTAATTTAATAAACACTTATCACCTATTTAGAAAAAATCACCAGTAGTCCTAAATTATATGAAAAAAGGTCAGTGCTTTTCAGTATTGTAAACACAATAGAGGAAATTCGCGTCACAACTTTGTTTCGAATTAGCATTAGACTTGTGTGATCAAGATTTAAATTTATTCGTGCTTACAATTAACTTATCGCTAATAAAAAAAGGTAATTATTCTTATTTTATCTTTTAAAACACTGTCTTACTTACAATAAATCGACTTTACAAATCATAATACATGCCGATTCCGGATTCGTATGCGGTTGCCTACTGCCTAATAAGGAAATACAACATGAATTCAAAAATAGTGACTTCAAATATATACTTTAGCACCATAATTTTAGCAAGGATATTTCAGTGCGTTTTGGAAAAAAAAGAATTATCGACAAATATGGTATCGTTAACATTTTACAACAATTTCTATTTATACATGTATGTACCTGCGGATGAGCTGCGGTCCTAATAAAGGCAGTGTTGCGGAATTAAGTTATAATACTTTTAATTATTAAAATAAACATGAAATTGACATATTTTCGTTTTCTGTCGTTGTGTATAAAAACAAATACTAGTATAGACTTTTGAAATCTGGAACGAATTTAGCATTAATTATTTTCGTTGGGAAATTCTTAACGGAAGTTATTCGTTACGGGAATTAATTTCAACAATAAAAAATTATAATTCTTTGCAATAGATACATCAATGTTTGTTTTAAGATGTGAATTAGATGTATTAATTGTTTCATTTGAAATTTGTGAATGAGAAAATCGACATGAAGATTTGCATGGAATACATGTACGTTTTACAAATGTTCATGTTGTAACCCCAAATGCATGTATGGTTAAATATATTATATACAAAATTTCATGCTTATGTTGAGAATGAGAGTTGAAATCGATCTTTTTAATGAGGATGTTATAATAGTAAATTTGTCAGCGACAAAAAAAAATTGTTATTCGGTCAAGTTTAGAAATGCTTTTTATATCACACTTTGGTTTTTTTGAGTGGTGGAATGAAATTGTCAGTATTGTTTGTCGTCATTGTATAATCATTACGAATTTTTTGGTCAAATAACAATACAAATTATTAATCTTTACAAAAAAAATAAATTAATTAAAGTAAATAATTTCATGAAACACACATACACACACAAAAAAAAAAAAGAAAAAGAAAAAAAAGAAAACATGGAATTAATAACAATATTGCAAGAGTTATCGTTCTTTGAAATCGCGATATTGAGCAAAATAAACACCGTTTTTGTACTTATGTTAAAATTACGGCATATTTTGAATAAAAATTTAACATATTTTACAATAAAATGTATTCAAGAACATAACTTAAGGGGTATTTCGGTAGTTTTCAGGGGCATTTCGGTAATTTCTAGGGGTATTTCGGTAAATCGGGGGCATTTCGGTAATTCGGGTTACCCTAAAAGTTGGATGCCGATCTCGACGATTCAAAATATAATTCCTCGTACGATTCTGTTGTTGCCTTTTTTCAATAAGAAGTTATAAACTGTCTTAATATTTAATTTAATTGGTCAAATCGTCCAACTTCTCACGTAAGAGATGAAGATAAACGAAGCCCACATGCCGATCGCGATGTCAATTAAGAAATGACCATACACTTATTTTCAGGATTTTTGAAGTAAATATTGAATAATACAGAATTGTTCAAGAGTGTTATAACTTTTTTTGCTTCAAAATGTTTCATTTTAAACACCAATAACATCTATATTACGTGGTTATAACTATCTTTGGGTATAATTATAGGAGTGACGAATTGCAAGGCTACCGCTTGGGATTTCTATTTTTAGAGCGACTCTGAGTACTAGCGACAGTTTTCACTGGTACAGCTGTCAAATCTGCCAAACCGACATAAAGCGCGTGTAAACTTGTATGTCGTCACAATCTGTAATCGTTTGACTTTCATAGGTTTTGCCTATTACGTAATTTGAAAATGAACAAACTAATGATGCACCTAAAAACATACTCTTACTTATTTCAATATTACTTGTATGTCTGTTTTCACATTTTATAGAAAAATAAGAAAATTATTTATCAGAGACTCTTTACTAGTCCCTAGTTTTATTTGCCGATAGACATGATCTAATGTTTCACAGATAAAATGGACTTAATATGATAAATTCTCAGTTTTTCTACACTGTAATATGTTGTTTCAATTGCCAAGCGGTTTATGCAAGTTTTAATTAAGACACCTCAAGAATTGTTAAAGAAATGCCTGTACAAGTATAGTTAGCTCTGCAGGATTTAATCAGAGTTTTTATTGCTAGAAGATAAGAACAAAGATCATGATCTCGATAATTCTAATTTACATTATCTGTTTAATTGGTTAAAAAATGTATATGTTGATCCTTGAAGAAAGATTTTTTTCTGTAAAATAATGCATTGTAAATATCTAGCTCTTGCAGCTTTCCATTCCTATAGCACGAGGAAGCATTTTGCACTTTATCACATGAATGTAGTAGATACAAGTATATGTATATCATATGATTTTGATTCATTAAAAATAAATTAAGAGTTACAGACGTTAAATGGTTTGGGAAACAGTGATGCGATGGTGAATAGTTAATTGTGAATATTTAAGTTATGAAATGTGAAAATAACGATCAGTAATCATGCTCAAAAATACAAATTGTGAACAAAACAAACAGTGGTCCCTGAAAAAAAAAATCAGTGGGGATCAGGTGCCATGAAGGAATAAACATCCTCTGTCGACTGGTCACACCCGCAGTGAACCCTTTGTCTTGATTGGGTAAACAGAGTACGTGTAGTTTCGTCCACATAAAGGCCTAAACAATTTGTTTTGGAAACGTTAACATTCGACCTAACGAGAGTTTGTATTAGTAAGCAAGGTTTTTGTATCGACTGTAGACCTTAAACAAGATTGATGATATTTTTGAAGCATCAACTTCGTTGTCAGTAGCCTTCCTCGGTTAAGAAATTTTATAATCAACTTACTTTCAGTTGCCTCTCTCAATTTAGAAACTGGTCAGACGTAGAGCAATCTCTTCCGTATTAAATCAATTGGGAGTCATAAACAAATCAAATGCAGGTGATAATGGTATATTGCTGAATAAATAAGGGAAGTTGACGATAGAAGAGATGAAGCAATCACGTTTTTAATAAAGTTAAGTTGTTGGCTTGTCATTATTTAATTTGTCATCAATGTCTTCCTGTAATAAAACATCCAAAATAAATTGATGAGTCAGTTTGTTTTATTTCAAGTTCAGTAGGATTTATCAAATCAAAGTATGAATGAAAATGAATATTGTTAAATGATAAAACATCGTTGATGTAGTGAATATGCAGAATTTAAGGCCATAACAAGAGACTTGTTTTCATGCTTAAAATTTGAATACATTCTGCTTCATAATACAAATTCAGGCCTGCTAATAAATGGACACAATTGATAATTGTATCCACGAGAGCTATCCATTGTCTGAACACAAGAGAAGACGCCGTAGAAGATTTTCTGTTGTGGTAAAGAATATATTTTTACGCTGAAAGGTGCTTACTTTTGCTTCAATGTTATGATGAAATCGATGTTTGAGAAAAATACACAAAGAATAATTTTCGGGTTTTCTTCTTTTTTATTTTCATTAACTTTTACATAACAAACAAATACACTGCCTCAGTACATTCAGTTCCTGCATTCACACAAACAAATAAATTATACAATTGAAAGACTTGCACAATCAAATACACGAATGGAGGGAAGATCAATACTCGATGCGAGTGTTTGTGTTTTTTTAATCTTTAAGGTATTGTTTTTTCATCAACCTTTGATATAAGTACATGTGAATTTAAAAAAGTGTTCTGCGTACGTTTGAGTGCAATTGAATATTTTGAAATTAATTTTCTACCATGAGATCACAATAATTCATTTTTTAAAAAGACAATCAATAACTTATTAAAATAGTAACATTTTTTTCTAAAAAAAAATATATATATATATATAAAATAAACAATATTTATTAAAATTTTGTTCTCTGAGGTCCACTTAAAGGATTCATTTGAAGATCTATATTACCCTTAGTCTTATCACAGTTTTGTTTCCCAAGGCCAGGAGTTTTGATGGTCACATACAAATGTAATAGGCAAGGATTTGCTCTGACAACCTGGTTCCATTCCTTCCCTAACATTCCATGTATTTGACACTGCGCTTCCATAGGTTGAGCTAAACATAAGTGGTGACCTTGAAGAAATCCGGAAACTCCCAGAGCAAGCTTTGTAGGTTTCACGATTATGATTGTATACGGGACACGCAGGCCGACAAATGCGCCCGCAAGTGTCATAAGCTGTTAAGATAAGTTCAGAGTCGGAGTCAAAAGGCTTTTTGAATCCAATATAAGTCATTGCTGACGTCACCGGTTGCCTTTCATCAACAATTGCATAATCTTTGTATGTACCTGCATAATTGAGTCCACTGGACTGCACAAATACTTTTCCTGCTCCTGACCCAGATGGAGAACACTGCTGTTTATACTGGACCTGATTCTGAAGTCCTATTCTCTTTGCCTCCTTCTTAAAGTTCTCTGGGTCATACATATCTCTTTTTGTTGCTCTTGGTGATGAAGTGTGGAAGTTGAAACCCCTTGGTCTTTCATACAAGACCCTGATTGGAATGTATGCCCAAGCGTCTTCATCTACCTTTCCGTTGATCATGAATGTGTTTTGGTATGGTTTGTTAAGTGTTGACAAGGCGGCTTCATTAGATTGAATTAAGTTGGTTGTGTTTGGGTTGACATTTTCATCTGCCAACTGATCCTCATGAGCGTTTATGCTTCGTTTTCCCCTAAACATAAATGGTTGCCTTCGTCTAGATCTTGAGACGCATACTCCCCGTAAACAAACAAAATAACGACCACCACCGCAGGCGTCTGAGCATCGTGGCATGGGAGCATACTGAACAATACGGTCATATCTGCTAGAGAATCCTTCCAAATTTGTCATTCGTCGCATGAAAGGCATGAAATTCATTCTCTGGTAGAACTCATGACCAGACGGAACTCTGACGCCTCTTGGGTAGTCTCTTTCAGGATTAATACCGCTGGCTCTTTGTCCATTTCTGAAAGCAACCCACAGAAGCTGGAAAAACGAATGTATGAACCAGAAGACTGGGTCCCAGGAAGCAGTGTTCAGGCCGGACATGTAACCGTCGATCCAGTTGTGGACACCGTTGTGGTGATTTTCAATAGAAAAGATACTCTGAGCGGGCTGGGGTTCAGTAATTTGGAATGTTCTTCTTCTGGACAACAAGGCTCTAATACCAGCTTTTCTAGCCAAAGATGCTCCACCTATGAGAATGTAAATAACATTTCAAAATAAGGAATTTAAAAGAGTTTGGCTTCGTTTACACTTTGCTCTGTTATTACATATGAAATAGAAAGCTAACGTTATTTAGTTACCTGATCCTATGTTTCTGATGATTGGAGTTCCAGTGGGTGTCCTGAATCGACCAAAAGGTCCTGACAGAACTGGGCCGTTTCCTGGACCAAAAAAGAGATCAGACCAAACAACAGACTGAGTTGGATCCATCATTTCACTGTCAGTGGTCATATCCCAGTAAGGCATGGGGATACGGCAAGCTGTCTCCATTCTGTAAAATATTATATTTTATTAATTATATAATGATTTATAATATATATTTTATCACTATATTATATTATAATAATGATTATAATGATGATTTTAATTGTGAACTTACACAAGTACGTAAATCATATGACGTGGCAGGAAGCCGGGTCCGTTGTGCATCATTCTTGCGGCCTGTCCGGAGTGTAGGGACGCAATCATGTCGTAAGTGCTCATTCTTCGGTCAACAGACTAAACAAATTATTAATACAAATTAGTTGAAAATTCTCTTACATTCAAGTATCATTATTGATTGGGTTTTTATGTAGGGATTAATTATTAGAAACTACAGAAAAAAATTTTGTGCTCATAAACGTCTAATTGGTACAAGGATCGGATGATTTTTTTTTCCAAAAGGGATGAACACACCTTTTGGGGTTAATTTCTGGGGGGGGGGGTAAAATTCTTATTGAAATAAATAAACAGGTCTCTGTATTTTATATCTATGCTTAGATTTCATTTTCTTCCTCAATTTTTTTTCTTTAACAATATATATATATATAGTTGGCTGCTGCCATTAGTCATTGATGGGGAATGACTAAGCTCCATTACAACATTATTTATGGTTAGAATGATGAGGTAAATATGTAAATCTGCGGTTTCTGAATCTATTAAGTGTTTTCTTTTTTTAATTTTGAAATCAATAAAAGTGTGTTATCTATTACATGATTAAAAAAAAGTTGCCGAGGCAAGTCAACGTTAACGTCAATCATGGAATGTCATTATTCATTTACAATCGTTCTTAGAGAAATGATCAGAATAATGAAAGGTTTTTCGCTTCATTTTTAAAAAGAATTTCAAAATATTAAATAGATCAGTAAACATAAAGGGGAAAAAACTTTTTCTTACGTAATCGTTCTTGAGTCTTCGGAAGCACTGGAAGACGTTGTTTCTTTCAGCGTCGGAGAGAGTTCGGATTTCTCTTCGTACTCTCCAAGTTCCAGCCTGTCTTTTCCCGCGCTTTTGGTCATGTACTTCGGATTCCAATTGTCGGAACAGAGATTTCAGGTATTGGACTCCTTCTGTGCTGATGTTTTGAGCAAAGTTCTCTTTTCCGCTTTGAGTCTCCAGGGTAAATTTCCGGATGCAGAAATCTTGTATACTTCGTCCTGACACTTCCCCGATGGAAGCATTCTGAGATTTGTATGCCAAGCATTCTAAGATGTCACGGGGTGTTTGTATTTCTTCAATTAATCCCAACGATGGCGGCAAGACAACCGCTGCTAAGAAGCAGGCGAGGAGGTTGATTTGTCCTTTCCGCATCTAAATAACATAACAAATTCTTTAACTTCGTTTGCACTGTTTCAGTTCTAATTTTATTGGTGGTTTATTTCATTTATTTATTTACCTATGTATTTACTTGAGTTCCTTTTTTTCTTTTAAAATTTTCAATATGCAGAATCAGTGTAAGTCAAATTTGGTAATATATTTTTTATGCAATTAAAGAAACACATATTTTTCCCTTCCTGCTCTTAATAAAAAAAAAAGCTTTTATCCCAAGAAAATCTGCTTTTTACAGTGAAAGAACTGCTTCATTTCTCTGAATCCAAGATCATAAAACCATCATCTATCAAATTAATAAGTAGTCCCCATTAAAAACTGGCATATAGAGCTAAGAAAGATGAGAATTTTAGGCAACGCACCTTGGATTCTTGTATCACCGGAGGCAGTGTCTCACTTTGCAGGTATATTAATCCTTTTATACACCTGGCGTACGTGCGGAGAGCGCTGATTGGCGTGAATGGGAAACCTCTGTTTAACGCCTAGTTTGACAGACTGTTAACCATCCGCTTACTAATTCCCTCTGAAAACAATCAATCAATTATTTAAATTATCATATGAATTTTATGATATGACTGTTAATTACGTAGAATTACTAAGTCAGATTTGAATAATGAAAACATGTTTTATGTTAAAAGAATTGATTATAATTAGAATAAAATTTTTGCCTGTTTAGAGTTTATTAATAAACCCACACATTAATTTGGTTAAGATTTACGATGTCATGACAACTTTTGCACTATACGACATCTTTGATCTCTGTTGCAGATTGAAGAAAAAAAAATGATTCCAGAGGCATTCAGGTAAAATTATTTCATTTTACAATTTTTTTAAGAAAGAAAATTACAGTACTAGTCTACGACTACTTGTAAGTAAATACTTAATACCTGTCGTGTTTCGTATATTTTTGAAGTCTTTTGTTCTCCCCACAAATGTTTTTAAACCAATTTGATTATGTTTTATTTGTTAGAATAGTAAAATGAGACATTTTTTACGATAACATTATCAGAAAACACGAATGGAGAAAGTTGAAATTTTCAAGTTATATGGTAAATAAATATTAAATATTAAATAAAAATTAAAAATAAACTCAGACTACTGTATCCATATTGGTGAAATATCACTCTGGAGTTCGAGTAGGTTATGACATGAACCTTCTGGAGAAGATTTTTAGGTTCTTTCCCAGAAAATGGACATAATTATCCAATCGTTCTCTTTTAATATTTCTTATGCAAAAATTGTAAATTGTCATGTACAAATTTTGCTAAAAAATATTAAAGTTTATTTAAAGAAGCTGTTGTTGGTAACAGAAACTTTGATGTTGTCATAAATTAGATACAGGTTTCTTGTACGTAGACAAAAACAACTTGTTGCCTAATCTTATTTAAGTTGCATGTTAACCAAAAATTTAACATGTCAGCATAAACAGTGTATTGACATAATCAAATTTCATATAACTATATTATCTCACAAATTGACATAATTGAATTATATCTTGCAGATAAATATCAAATCTGGCCACAATTAGTCCTTTTTATGGAATTTATATTTTATTATGTTACATTGCATGTTAACATTAAATAAATTAGTTGAATATTTTACATGTTAACATAATTCCTAGAAAAATAACTTGCATATAGGGGACAAAAATATGGAAGTTATAGAATTCTAAGAAAAGGGTGATACATTTTATGAGTACTGGTATGGAGGTGTCGTAAATGCCGTAGTAAGATTCAGGGAACACTTAGATATAATAGACTTTATCATCGCTTATACTGCATACTTGTAATTTAGTGTCTCTGATAAAATGAGAATAGTGTAAGCCTTAACAGAGGCTCAGGGCTGAGGTTCGCTGTTTTCCACAGTACTTCATAGTTTACCTCTGAAGTGATATTAGCTGTAGAAGAATGTAAAACAAATTTTGAGTGCACATTAACAATCTCTCTCTCTCTCTCTCTCTCTCTCTCTCTCTCTCTCTCTCTGTGTGTGTGTGTGTGTGTGTGTGTGTGTGTGTGTGTGTGTGTGCTATACAATTTCTTACTATTTTTATTGTATTTCAAACGATATTTCCGACAGTTATAAATTAGATTTGTGTGTACAAAATGAAAGCAAAACCAGAACAGGGACATAAACTATCTGAACAAAAATATTACGATTACAGTGTAGGAGAAGGCGAAAGAGTGAGAACCCCCAGATTCTGTCAGAGCTCTTATCATTATACAGTGCGTGCCTAGTAATATGACACAATTTCCCAGTCCTGGACGTCACGGTTATTACCACGTAAAACAGGTAACTGCGTTTAAGCTCTACAGACTAGAAAAAAGCAGGTCAACTGCCTAGAATATGCAAATCTTACAACTTCAATATTTCATGTATGGGGGAAAGAGAGAGAGAGATAGAGATTTGTGTAGCGCAGACTACTGAATCTAAGAGGAGTCGATGTTTTTGTTTAAATTGATTCTTTTTATTTTAATTTTTTGTTTGTTTGGTTGGTTTTGTTAGGTTTTGATTTAGTTTGCTGGCTTTTTATGCATAAGGGGTTTTTGTCTCCCAGTGGATTCGATACGCAAGAACCTGCTCGACGTATGAACAATTTCTAAAACGAGGCAAACTTTTGACAAACAAGTTGATGAAACAGGGATATCAACAGTCTCGTTTGAAGTCATCATTTCGCAAGTTTTATGGTCGATACAATGGCCCTGTCAGCAAATACAACCTATCATCAAGCCAAGTGCTGATTGGCGTTTTTCATACTAATTGTTAGGCCATTATTTACACACTGAATTGTCTACGGATTTTTTCGGTTTTTCCCGATCATGACAAGGACCACACGGCGGATGTGACCCGTCGGCAGGGGATGCTTAATCCTCTTGGCACGTGATTCCACCTCTGATGTTTTTGGAGGTCGATCCTTGATTGCTCTGCTCCCGATTTGAATTGTTTAAATGTACTTTGAGCTTGAATACTGTTCGTTATATCTCCATATTTCATTATTCATTTATTTATTTATGTGTTTGTTTGTTTTGTTCTTTTTGGGCAGGCAAAGTTTCTCAATTTTGCTGGTGAAGCATCTTTTTAAATCTAAGCGTCGACTGTGTTGACGCAATACATCTTGTAGTCGTTTATAATTCTGCAATATTGCAAAAAATGATAAAACTATTTCACCAAATCTTCTTTTGAAAAAAGAACAAAAACAAAAGCAAAATATGCTAAATTTAAATGCTTGCTGTTTCAAGAAGACTTCATATGAATAACAGCTTAAATAAAGTTATTTTATTCATTATTTGATATTTCAAGATATATTTTGGTATTTCTGGAAAATAACTTTCTATGAAGCTTTTTTCGTCAGTACTGTAAGTTATAGACTAATTCTCAGAGAAATCTGCCAATTTAAAAATTTAAATTCTGTCCGATAATCATTCACTGAGTATAAATATCTCCCTTAAATCATCAATTAATTAAATTGTGCTCAAAATTTTAAAAGTGGTTATTTGTACCTATTTTAATTAATAATAAGTTCTCAAAAATCAGATGATATAAAGGGGGGGGGGGTATATCAAAATGAATCTCATTTTTAGCATTTGAGAATTTCATACATGTAAATGAAATTTGATGGCGAATTCCATTTTTAATTTTTCTTTTATGAAAATTTTCATATTAAGAAAGTAAAATCACTATGCAATACACTCTTTATACGACATAACCCTTATACGTCTAAAGTAAAATCACTATGCAATACACCCTTTATACGACATAACCCTTATACTTCTACAGTAAAATCACTATGCAATACACCCTTTATACGACATAACCCTTATACGTCTAAAGTAAAATCACTATGCAATACACCCTTTATACGACATAACCCTTATACTTCTAAAGTAAAATCACTATGCAATACACCCTTTATACGACATAACCCTTATACTTCTACAGTAAAATCACTATGCAATACACCCTTTATACGACATAACCCTTATACTTCTACAGTAAAATCACTATGCAATACACCCTTTATACGACATAACCCTTATACTTCTACAGTAAAATCACTATGCAATACACCCTTTATACGACATAACCCTTATACGTCTAAAGTAAAATCACTATGCAATACACCCTTTATACGACATAACCCTTATACGTCTAAAGTAAAATCACTATGCAATACACCCTTTATACGACATAACCCTTATACGTCTAAAGTAAAATCACTATGCAATACACCCTTTATACGACATAACCCTTATACGTCTAAAGTAAAATCACTATGCAATACACCCTTTATACGACATAACCCTTATACTTCTAAAGTAAAATCACTATGCAATACACCCTTTATACGACATAACCCTTATACTTCTAAAGTAAAATCACTATGCAATACACCCTTTATACGACATAACCTTTATACGTCTAAAGTAAAATCACTATGCAATACACCCTTTATACGACATAACCCTTATACTTCTACAGTAAAATCACTATGCAATACACCCTTTATACGACATAACCCTTATACGTCTAAAGTAAAATCACTATGCAATACACCCTTTATACGACATAACCCTTATACTTCTAAAGTAAAATCACTATGCAATACACCCTTTATACGACATAACCCTTATACGTCTAAAGTAAAATCACTATGCAATACACCCTTTATACGACATAACCCTTATACGTCTAAAGTAAAATCACTATGCAATACACCCTTTATACGACATAACCCTTATACGTCTAAAGTAAAATCACTATGCAATACACCCTTTATACGACATAACCCTTATACGTCTAAAGTAAAATCACTATGCAATACACCCTTTATACGACATAACCTTTATACGTCTAAAGTAAAATCACTATGCAATACACCCTTTATACGACATAACCCTTATACGTCTAAAGTAAAATCACTATGCAATACACCCTTTATACGACATAACCCTTATACGTCTAAAGTAAAATCACTATGCAATACACCCTTTATACGACATAACCCTTATACGTCTAAAGTAAAATCACTATGCAATACACCCTTTATACGACATAACCCTTATACGTCTAAAGTAAAATCACTATGCAATACACCCTTTATACGACATAACCCTTATACGTCTAAAGTAAAATCACTATGCAATACACCCTTTATACGACATAACCCTTATACTTCTAAAGTAAAATCACTATGCAATACACCCTTTATACGACATAACCCTTATACTTCTAAAGTAAATGTAGATTTAAGTTTCCCTTTTTTCCTCATGAAAAAGATTGGTAACTATTTGATGTTTACATAAAAAACTTTATCACTTCAAATTTTAAAACGTGATTGCAGGAAGGTAGGTATACATTTTTACATGTTTTGCAAACATTTAGGGCAGTTCTTGCATTGACTTAAAAACTGTTGTATTATTTCAATCTTTATATTGTGATTATGAACTTTAAAAAAACTTTTATAAACTAAAAAATGTGAATCTCCAAGACAATTTGTTTCCTGTTTTTCAAAATTTAAAAA